ACTGAGCGCAATGAGAAGAATGAATTCATTGCCCCGTCTCACCGCTTTTCACTCAGCTTTTGCTTCGGCTTACACAGCCCACCTGAGATACGAACCTGGCTGCTTTGTGTGTTTTGTGTGTTGTGTTTGTTTGGGGTGTTTTGTTGTGTTGGGCCTTGGTCTGGTGCTGGGCTCGTATCTCCATAGTATTCCTATTTAATTCAATCAAGGTGACTTGTGCCTCTCCGCACACACAGCGCCTCCACCCGTGCAAAAAAAAGCAGGTGTAGGAGGACTGTTTCTTGAGGATCTAGGAGCCTTCTGTTCCGTGCTGAAGTGTTTTTGAGTTTTGCTGAATTGCTTGCATGGGTGGACTTTTTGAATCTGGATGGAAAGCATTCACTGTAAAATTGCTCGAAGCTGTCTTGCACACCTGTTTTCAGTTTCTTGTCTGTGAAAGTTTGGTTCTTGTGGAGATTTGTTGACAGTAGAGCCTTTTGGAATCCAGTTTTGCTTACCCGACCTTCCGGATAGCTACCTCTTTCCTAAGGAAATTGAGACGTTTTCCTTTTGCCGCACTGCTTTTTCCTTTTCCTTGACAGATCAGGACTGTTGAATACCCGCCGCCACTTTTGTTGTTTAAGAAGGCAGCTGAACGAAGCGCACCGAAAGCGTGGAACCAGGCGAGGAGTTCAGTTTGTGTGTTTTGGAACACTTAAAGACTGCTGCATTCAGTTACAGTGAGGATTGATCAACCATAAGTAGCTGAGGCAAGGGTTTTTGAGTGAGGGTTGAGACAAACAGTTTGTGTTTTTCGTGCTTGGAAGCGAAGGGATGTGATTCCAGAAGCTGCAGGGATTTGAGGAAGCAGTTGTCCAAAAAGGTTATACATTCTTTTTCTTGTTGAGGGATAGTAACGTGTTCGAGGGGTCTAGAACAGATTTTCTTTCTTCTTTTTTGGTTGGTTGAGTTCTTGAGTGCTGTGTCATGTATTGCAAGCAAGCTTATCCACTTTTGTCTTTGTGACTCAAGCAAGTCAAGCCACTGGCGCGAGTTTGAACTGCACTCAATTTCACCTGTGAGAGTCATGGCCAACGTTGTGAGCGCCGACCAGTCTGGTGCAGCCATGCCTGTTGAGCATGAGGCAAGTGCGCTGCCAGTGGAACCCGCTGCAGGTGCCGAGACGGAAGTGCCAGCCCCGGGTATGGCAGACCAGGAGTTGGATTTGACGAAGGCCCGGACTGCAGCATCCACCCTGAGTGGATTCCTTTTTCCAGGAGAAGAGCTCAATTTGATCGAAATTTCCCGCCTGCAGGAATACAAATTGAATGAAGTGGAACTCAGCAGTGATTTCCTCAAGGAGGTATCGCTCAGCGAGCTCAAGGCTGAGAGCGTCCGTTGGCACTCAGCAGGAGACACTGTTGAATCAGACCTTGCTGAACTTGATTTCATGATCAATGTGCTCCAGAAAAGGGCAAAGGAACAGGGTTTGAGTGAAGAAAATGCTCGAGTCACTGAAGGTCCATTTGTGAACAAATCATTGCAAGAACTGCTCAGGTTCCAGCGTAGCAGTCGCTGGATCACCATTACTTTGCCATGTTTGTTTCGATGTCATCCACCGAGTCGCCAAGCTTTGTGAAAAATATCAAGGAGTTGCAGCAGGAGGGCCTCCTTGATTGCATCCAGTTTGCCATGTCAAAGATTGCAGGCGCCCAAGAGTCGGTGACTAGCCTAGTCTCCTTTTTGGGCACGGCCCAGAACATGGAGCAAGCTCACAAAGAAGCTGGCGTTGAGTTGAGTCAAAAGGTGGTGGAATTGACAGCGGCGATCCTTGGTATGCAGTCGGCTGCACGTCTGCAGCTAGATGACCAAAGCAAGAGTGGTCGAAAGCTCCAACGAACTATGGACAACATTTCGTGGCAGCTCAGCGGAACTGGCAAAGGGGTCAACAGCAGTACCAAAGATTTGGTTCTCTCGCTCGCTCGCCTGTTGCAGGCCATGGAATCCCAACGGGGGAAGGCATTCAAGATGAGCGAAAGCAACGCCGAAACATTAGAAGCGATGGAGGCTCATTTGGGAAAAATCTCTGAAAGGATTCAAACTCTTGTGCAACAAGGAAAGGGTCCGATGGGTCAGACGCCACCATTGAACCCGCAAGTGAATCCAGCATCAGCGGCAGCCACTACGGCGGCCACGCTTGGAACTGGCAAGACAGCCGTTGGTGTGAAAGCCACGCCAGAGGAGTGTGCCTCCACCACCGATGGAGAATATGTAGCGCCAGCACATGTACCTCCACAGGTAGCTCCAAATGTGGTACCAACGATGCCGCCGATGGGAACACCTCAGACACCAGGCTGGGGTGGATATGAGCAGCCCCATGTTACCTTTCCGCCAAGTCCGGCCGCGGCAGTCCCTGAGCCTTTGTACAAACGTGTAAAGCTCCATGATGGGACTGAGGTAATGGAGCCGATTGGATAGGCGATCAACTTTTCAAGGAGGGAACTGGGGTGGTATGCACATAGGTCCCATGTCGCGCACTGAGATCCACATCAGCCTTCAAAAAGAAAGAGAGATCTTGCAAGGGTTTGACCGTGATTCATTTTTTTCGTTTGAGTTTGAAGAGTCTTGAGTTTGAAGAGGGTTGAACTCAATTTCATTTGCTTCATGTCTGTCTTGAGGATCAAGGGCATGTGCAATTGAGACCTTGTGCATTTCACTGTCTTTCCTTGGTGGGGATTGGAGAGAAGAGGCCAGGGATCAAGATCAAGTGAAATCTGTGAATGAGCGAGGGTTGAGAACAGAGACATCCAGATGACAGAAGAAACAGTAAGAAGGGTTGACTAACTAGAGGGTTGAGAGTTAGCTTCCTTCTTTCTTGCTGTCTTGTCCATGTGATTGGTTGCAGTTGAACGTAACTAAGGGGTTTTGATTCAGGATGTGCTTCTTGAACAGTAAGAGGGTTGGAGTAACTAGAGGGTTGACTCTTGCTTGCTGTTTTGAGCTTTGTGCACTTTTGGGAATTGGCAGGACTTGTCACGATAAGCATTTGTCGTTTTGACCTGTCAGGTGTTCACTTGAAAGCAACTGGCTTTCAAGATCCCAATGATGATTAGTGCATGAGCTAGGAGTCATCACTGTGAGACTCCTCAAGCCATGCCTTCTGAGGGATCTTGACCAGTTTTGTTTGTTGTCTTGGTTGAACCTTGGTCGATTGAGTTGAGGCTTGTTTGAGACTTGCTGACTTGAGTTTGGTGACGTTTGATCGACCTGGAGACCATTTTGGAGGACAGGAGTTGAGATCTTAGTTGATGCTCGAACCTTAGTTGCTCAGAGAAACGAAGAGAAGAGAAGAAGAAGACAGGAAGAACCAGGAGAAGGTACGAGGTGACCCAAGAAGGGGTGTGAAAAGTGAGGGTAGCACGCCTGTACAGTGTGTGGATCACCTAGTACCTCTTTGTAGTGGAACTTTTCGTTTTTCTGTCCTTGGGTTGGAGCTGAGTAGGGATCTTCCTTCTGGGAGTGTGTTCTCTTTGACCTCCTTAGCAGGACTAAGTGGAATGTGACCAGGAGTGGCTAGGAGCACGTCTAGAGAAGCCCTATGTAGAGAGCTGTAGTGCTTGAGATGAGCTGTGTATAGTTTAGGTTTGCTTGAGAGTGTTTTGAGATGCTTTCCTTTACTTTGAACATGTTTTGGACGACTGTGACCAGTCAGACCTTTTCAGAAGAAGAGTGGATGAACAGTGATACAGTCAAACCGACTGTAACGTTTGGCTCAAGAGCGGGATTCAAAAAGGGGACGCTTACGCTTCCGTGTTTTCACACCACTGCCCTCACCGTAGTGGGAGCATCGTCAGTCTCTGTACACGACCAAAGGGACAAAGCATGACTCTCTCAGGCGAGCACCTTAGTCCTTGTTCTGGGGCAGAGTGCAACTAGACAGCATGCCCAATTGGCTGGAGCTCAGGCAAGGACTTTAGTCCTTGTCCTGCGGGTGGGTCACTACCCTGCCAGCTGTATAAAGGCACTGCACAATTTTGGAAAGTCGACTGTCGAGAGATTGCACCACGAATAGGATGACGCGGCCACTTGATTGTTAGCTACAGGATCTGCCACTGTCATAGACGCTGTCATTCAACCACACAGAATGCAGGCCACAGTGGAGCCTCGGTGCCCTTTCGCTTGTCACGTCAGAGCTCGAGCGTTTCACTGTTTTCCACGGCCTCGACCCTCGTGCACTGGCCACCATTCGATCCTTTTGCCATGATTAATTGCTTTCGTTCTGGTTCTTGTTTTTGTTGCAGTTTTGGTTTGGAGTTGGTTTGTTTGGTTCGTGTTGTTTGCTGCTTTTTCTTTACAGGAGACTCACCCAAAAACAGCGCAAGCTGACCTGTGCATTTCCTGCACGTACGGCGGCTCCACTCGTGCAAAAAAAACAAGTCCAAGGCCAAGGCCACGCCCAAAGGTGAAGGAAAAGAGCAACAATGCGCGCGCGCGCACCTTCCTCACATGAACAGTACCCACCTGCACGCGATGACCCAACTCCTGCCGGTTGACACAAAGCCAACCCCTCTCAATGGCTTCCCCGCGACAACGCCCACGATCTCCTTTTGCATGTGCTGCACATGTCCCTGCGGGAGGGAGATCTTGAAAGGTGGTGTCACTCACGGCCCAATCTGGCTTCCGCATCTTCATGCCACAAAACTTGACAAGTTCTTGACGACTTGGACAAAGCATCAAAAACAATCGATTCGACAGAAAACGTTGCGGTGGTGCCAAGCATGATTCTTCGCCACAGGAACTGACACTTCTTTGCTTCCGGCAACAATTTTTGTTCCGGCGCTTCAGGATGGTGAGAAATTTTCTCTTCCGTCTTGAAGAGTCGAGCAAAGCACGACAGCGCTCTTGCACTTCTTGATGCGCTTGTCTTTCTGTCTCGCAAGCCACCCATGCGGTCTGCCATGACTGTCAACCCAGTTTCTCAGCGCTCCAATCTTCAAATGCTCTTCTGGAATGATTGACATGGTTGCAAAATTCTTGACGTCACACCTGATCAGAATTGAAGTGGCAAAAACATACAAGGACTTGACATTGATAATCTTCAAGACGCCTTTAGGGTTCTCATCAGGCGGGGCTCGTAACGCCTGTGCTGACAAGATGAAAGAACCCAGGATGTCTCCTCCATGTGTCCATGCTGAGTCAAGGTCAAGTGAGCATGAAGGTATTGGGAGGTGTCTGAGGTTCATGGCGCAGGACATGGGAGTGTCAGACTTTTCCAAGAAGGTCCCACCAGGTGAGGATGCGGCTCATGTTTTACAGACGCTAGTTTTGCCCGCATGAAGTCTTTGGGAAGGAGGTCGATCACAGGAGTCTGCATCTTTTGGCGTCAGTGTCTGTTGAAAGATTTTTCGAAGACACAACAGGCAGTGACCTTGGTCGTTTTGCGTCTAGGCGCGATCCAATGTGGCGTGCAGAAGGCTGCAGGAATGACCAGGACGTTGGGGTTGGTTTCCTTCACATCAGCATTCAAACGTTGCTTTCTGTGTCACTCGGATCTCAAGTGTAACTTTGCAATTTCGAACTGTTGTGAGAGCTTTGGGAAGCAAAGCTCATGGAAGGTCAAATGTTCAGAAGTCTTTGTGTTTTTGTGGAGGTTTTGTGCATGTTTGAGTGCGGGAAGCTTGACACTTTTGCGTGTCTTGCATGGGGATTGCTTGGAACAGGAATACCTTGCAGGCTTTTGGGGACTTGACGCTGGCTCAGGTTCTTTGTTTAGAACGTTTGTAATGGACTCACTCAAAGAAGCAGGTTTTGGGTGGAGAGACAGCAAACCACTCAAAACAATATGCTTGGACCCAGCGTTTCTCGTTTTGAATAGGTTTCGTCAAAAAAAAATCACAAATGTGCAGTTGTATGAAAATCGTCATTTTCCACAAAAAAACTGCTACTTAGTCTTGCACCGCCCTTTGGTCTTTTTCAAATTTTTTAACTTTGGCCGCATTCTTTTTTCTTTCGCTGCTGCATCGGAATTGTCCATGACAAGCACTTTACCTCACGGACTTCCGAAATTCGTTGAAACTTCTTTCGATTGGGGCGAGTGCGGCGCCAACTCGAATGACGATCAATCACCCATGAAAAATGCTCACGTGATCCCGGTTGAGACTCCCTCTGTGGAGTCAGGGAACTTGGGTGCTGAAAATGACACTCTTATGATGACAATTTCTCTCAGTAGAACGGAATTTCTTGGGGGTCCTGATTCCAAGACAAGCAGCGTTTCAGCCAGCATTGTCCGTGAGCCCGATGTACTAGAGCTGGGAGGTCAGATTATGTAGTGAGATTGTAACTGTCCGTGAGCTTCTCCATGGTCACATGAGGGTTGTGATTTTATAAGCTCCTTGATGCTCGATGCGGTGGATGTTGAAGAAACTGATGATCTTTGGATGGGTGCAGACAAGGCAAGCAACAAACAGATCTCCAAATCGAGTGCGTGGAACAAAGAAAAAATGATTCATGATTCACGCTACACACCAACACCCTGCCAATAGCAGTGAAAGATGAGCCTCACTTCTTTTGCGTCTAACTTGCAGGTTGTCGGATTTCCACCCGAAGGATCGGAAACGCAGATCGGAAAACGCTTTGGCCACTATAGAATCACAGGATTTTTTGTTATCTTGATGTTACGTTTTTTGTCGAAGATGGGGGGTGTGATTTTAAACGACCGGATTTTTTCCGATCACTGTCCGTGAGGTTGCCTTTCCGACTAACGGGTTAGACTGGGCCACCCAGGGGGAGATATGAATTTCAAAGGGGATCCCACGTGTCCACACCAGTTCACACGTGGAAGCAGGCCAGACCTGCGGCCTTAAAAAAACTTTTCGCACCTGCGTCACAGCACGCTTTCAAGACTTGCGTGCAGGTCTGATCGACACTGTTTTTGGAAGTGGCAAGGATTTCCATGTCGAAAAGTCGCTTGGGCGCTTGGTTGGCCAATTCAAGTTTTGAGGAACCAAGATGTTGACTGAGTTGGGATGTTGAGTCAGAATGTTGACCGGTTGACCGACAGCGGAATCCACTGTGACATGCTGGAAGGACAACTTGAGAGAAGGTCAACATGGGAATGCCAAAGGTGACATTCGAGCCAGAGGGGGCCGATCGCCTTCTTTGTGCATGTGAGGGTTCGGCTCGGTTGATGCCTTTTTTGAACAAGAGCGAATGTGCCACGACAAGGCGTCAAGACAGCACGAGGAAGAAAAAGGTGCGAAGTGCCACACTTTTCAGTGTTCTCTGGCACATGTCCATGCCCAAGTGGCACTTTTGCTGTGTTTTGTTGGTGGTGCATCACCGGTGTGCCACACCGTCAGTTTTCCATGTCTCTTGCCATTGGCAGTGTGTACAGTGTTGAAAAATCAGACTTGTTTTTGGGCCTGTGGTGTCCGGGCAGCACCCAATGCAAGTTTTGTCTGCTTCAGATTTAATTTGTTTCGTACGTGCCCGAACAAATTGTTTGACGAGAGCTGTCTCACAAACCTGTCGTGTAGATCAAACAGTTTCGCTGTGTTTGGCTCAGCTGTTGATTCTTGATCTTAATCCAGTGCGTGCGGAATTGGTAGTTGTATTGTTTCACATTTTGCAGAGCAAGCCACTTGGGTGGATGTTCTTTGCCAACATTGGTTTAAACTCATTTAGGGTTTGTCGCATCAGTCTTGGGTTGCGTGCATGGTTGTATTGGTGCATTGAAAAGGCGGGCATTTGGGTTTTCACAAATTCCATGCAACAAACATACAATTTTTGGAGGAGTTCGACCCTGGTGGTGCTGTATAGGTCCAGGTTTTGAGTTTTGGACAATTACTCAATCACCGGATCCTGTGGTGAGAGTGTTCACCATTTTTTGCAAACCGTGGCAATGTGTGGTTGTTGTACATTCGCAGACCCGGATGTGGCAGGCCAGTATGAGTGGACCATGGGCACCTTGGTGCAGGCTTGGATTGCTTGCACTTTCTTCTTGTCTATAAGACTTTTAAGATCTGCACAATGTGTGGCTACAATTTTGCAAAAATGCTAGGAGATCCATAATGTTTCAAAACTGGTTGTTGAAACATTCAATTAGGTATTCCGGTATTCCTTTGACCTTCTACAATGGTTGGGATTGTTTATGGAGGACAGTTGGTAGTGTTGTGAGGCGCTCGCAACCTTGCTTGTTTGTCAACAGGCTGGATACACGTGAGGAAACTGCATCAACAAAACTCTAAAATCGAACCCCCTTGAAGGTTCAATCCGCATCAGAATTTGAATTCAATACTATTTCAAGTGGAGCCGACTACACACTAGCTGTCAGAACTGCCCAGCCCTCAGCTATGCATGAAGTGTGTTTCTATTCGCTTGGTGAATCTTGACAACAAACGCACTTGATGTGAGGATGGCACGTCACTGTCATGGGGTTTCCCTTTCAGCGAAAGACCAAAGGCAAGCATTGAAGTCTTTGCCGGATTTAAAGCAGGGGGTGTAATCCGCAGTGCCAAGGGTCTTTGCCAAAAACCCACAGTATGAAGGTTCTTGTTGAGCGATTCAAACAATCGTGACTACGGTAGGTACCATTGGACCACATGTGTCATCCACACTCTTGCACACTGACTCATTGATTACAGTCCCAGAGAGGTCAATTATGACAACCTTGCTGAAAGTTGTGGATTTTGCAGCACACGTGAATTCGAACTGTGAGCACCCGGAGCCTGTCAGGTCTACATACCACAGGGGTTTTTATGGAGAGAGATGGCAGCAGGGATCTCGCATTCTTGTGGAATCACGGATGCAGGTGCCTCTGGTTTCTCAATTCTGAAAGCACAGTCTCTGTGGCTACGAGAGGCGAAACACTTTGCTGGGGTCGTGAAAGAGAAGGGCAGTGCGACGTTCCTGCTGGATATCGCGCCTTGTTGCAACTTGAGCTAGTGCTGCTCTGCGAGTGGAGCTTTGGGTGACTAAGGCTTCCAGCAACTTACATTGGGAGAGGCAAGCCGGTGAGCTTTTCGACCTTTCACCCAAGTCCTGTGAAGCCTCACAGTAGTTACCTCTGTTGTCAGGCTCACACTTGTGGCATCACGAACACATCGGAGCTCCTCTGTTGGGGGAGCCCTGTTGACGAGACCCTGGCAGTGTCTTGCTCGCCATTTTTTTTTTGTGTATGTTGCCTAGCATTTTGGATTATTGCAACTACACCTTCCCGGTTGGAATTTGTGGTTTCTTTTTATGCTTTTTCACAAGGTGCCACCTGGCAACACATGGAGCCAAGTCGGGGCTGGTACTGTCTCCACCTGTGCAGTGAACGCCACTGGAAGCATATTTTGCTGGGGAAAGCAAGGCAAGCATATCTTACACAAATTTCCAGAGAGCAAAAACCGCTGCTACTTTCAATCTTGCAGTGACCTGGCTGAGTAGGTTACGACCGGAAAGCCGTTCCTTACTTGGACAACTCAGATGTTGTTTGGCAGGAGCTTCCACCAGCTTCCGCAGTGATTCGATACAGCAAATTCATACGCAAGTCTTGATAAAACCTAGATTCCTGTCTTCGAACCAGCATAATGTGTCGTGTTCAATGGTCGCACGGCAGAAATGTTGAAGCAGCACGTGTATACATTAATAGTTAGTGGGTGCACTTGTGGGATGACTTAACCACTTTGTTTGTTGGCAGTTTTTTCCCCACATCTTATTGTGGGGTTCTTCTTTTCTATGTCTCATCCCGCTTCTCCCGCTTCGCTTCGCTTCTCCCGCTCCTCCCGCTACTCGTTCACACACCACTCATCTCACACCACTCATCACACACCACTCATCAC